TCCCCCCCAACCCCTGACAGATGCATACACCACTGCATGGAAAACAGCATTAATAGGAAAAAAAAACTTGTGTCATTCCAGAAAGAGGCTGAAGAGCCATTCATTGCCCCTGCCTGGCATCCAGAAAGCATTCCCATTTTAAAAGATGTGCACTTTTCAAATGCCCAATCCATTCTGCAGTAGTATGTTTAATTGCACAGGAGGCTTATTGTTTTAATGACAGTTTGTTTAAAAGGGGGGGGGCTCCATAATTTATGGATTAGCAGCTAAAAGTTTAGTCTTATATTTGTTCCACTGTTTCAGCAGTTGTTTGCAAAGGAATTCTCTTCTCTGCACAGCTCCTCTGATTAAAAAGTAACCTCACTAGATTCCCAATACATGTTTGAAGACACATTTTCCTTGTTTTGTTGTACTGGAAAACTTGCCAACTGAACCTCCATCCTCCTCCCCTCTGAATCTCCTCTAGTGGCTGAGATCCATCTAGTACAGACAAAAAAATCATCCCATACCGAGAAGCTGGCTGTTGGCATGCTTTCAAATACCTCTCTCAACACAGCAAGCAGGCAGTCTCTGATACTGGTAACATTGTATATTCCCACTGAGAGATAATCATTAGGAGTCTGATTGCCCTTTCCTGTTTGCACAGAGCTAAGGCCTCATCTTGCCTGTGGATTTTGCAAGCTATTTGCAACAAGTTTCTGAAGTCAGTAGCCAAAAAAATAAAATGGGGGGAAAAAAAAAAAACCTACTTCCCCCTTTCCTGGCCTCTTTCTTATTTACTTAGCCAGATCAAAGGGCCTTTTCACCAGGCTTGTATGCTGCTGAAGTCATTTCAGATCATGAACAATGGTGAACGAAGTCTGAAAATAGCTCCCTATAGGGCTGGAAAGGTCCCGAAAAGATTCAGATTCTCTAAAGTTCTGAATCCATTGCAAGAATATTGGCCAGCCTCTTCCTTCTGTATACGCACACACGTGTGTGCATGCACACACCCCACTTTTGTGATGCATCATCCTGCCCCCCACCATCCCCTTTCTGCTTTACATCATCTTTCAAGCAAAAAAGGCAGGAATTGGTGGGCTGATATCCACTAGATTGGAACATTTCAAGTGGAATTCCCTCTTAAGAGAAAATTCTCAACCACTGGCTGGATCTGAACATACAGTAAGACAAAGGACAACGTAGGTTAAAGCAAAGTTCTCATTCTGGTTTATTAAACTTGATCTGCTCCACCCACCAGGAGATCAGTGGTGGCCCAAACAGGATCCAGTTTAGAGCAAACCAGAGCAGAGTGGAATGCCAATTAATGCAGAGAAAGCGACTGCTAAACAAGCAGTGAACAAACAGCACCCCATTCTCCATTCCCACCTTTGCCTCAGTATATGAAGGCTGGAAACTCAGGTAAACTTATCACTCTTGTCTGCAATCACTTTCCCCTTTCCTAAATTATCTGATATAAAAATACTTAGGCAATGGGCCACACCCTGAACATCTATTGTCCTGGAAGATGTTAATTAAAGCCTGGCTTACTCTTGCAATAAGGGACTGCAAGTTTGAACAGTGAATCATGCTACAGCCCCGGCCTTTTAGCAGGGCCCTTGCATGATCCAGGAACCGCAGAGCCCAGCTTTGCGCTCTGTTGTAAAAATCAAACCGCAATCAGCAGCATAACTAGAAAACTGGCTCCTTCAGAAAGCAAGTCATGATCTTACCACACCACAGGTACAGGCTAACAACAGAGAAAGGATCCTTGTTTAAAGACAACTTGCTACAAGGGGGAAAAACAGACCGTGCTTTGCTTGTTACAGAGCTAAAAGCCACCAGCCTAGAAAAGCAGTTAAGAGTCTGCTTACCTGATGGAGCCATATTCAGGAGGATGCTGATATCTCATCATAGGCCCATCGGATCTCCCCTGCTGGCTCATACGGTGATCACCATAGAAATGTCCAGGGTCCTGAGGTTTGCAGTTCATGGGTGGGGTGGACATACTTTTATATGGGTACTCTGGCGGAGGACCCCTGTGCTCCATCCCTTTCATGTTTGGCTGGGGAGGCGTCTGCACTGAGTTTTTGTAGAAATCATTGGAATTGGAGTTCTTGTATGGGTCATTTTGCTGCTGAGAAGAAAGAGAAGAGAGCGGAGACAGAGGAGCACTTGTGACAGGTGCGTGGGCCTTGACACCACTGGTGGCCAAGGACAGCTGCATCAGCCTTTCACTCAGTGAGCGAACATGCCCTTGCTTGAGGTCCTTGAGTCCTTCATCCTGATGGACCTTCCCAGGGCTCACTCGCTGAACTGTGGGCCGCCCTTCAGTCCTCATCTTTTGATTGGTTACCCCCGTTACATAAAATGCTGCCCCAACACTGGCATGCTGCTGGCCCCTGAAATACTGCGACTGGACTTTGGCTTCCTCATAGGTAGGGAGGTCTTCACTGTTCTGAAGTCTTGGAGAGAGCTGCTTCTCCATGATGCTGTTGTCCACCTGAATCTCCTGGCCCTGGGGCTCTTGTCGGGCAGCATGAGTCACAAGCTGATGGTCCTGGGAGCTCAGCCCGTCATTCTGAGACACTGGACTCCCACTGTTGTTGAAAGGGGGTGCATTTCCTGTGGCTTGTTGATGTAAGGCAAGAAGGTTACGGTTGTCATTTGGGTTTCCGTATCTGAGCTGCTCCTGCAGCAGACGCTGTAAAACTGTCGTAGCTGTTTGCTCTTCTGAATTCCTCATCTCAAACTGTGGTGCCTTTTGAGTGGAATGCAAAAGCTGCCCTTGACCTAAGGAGAGGAGACATGGTTATTAGCTCGAGTGGATCAAGCAAGGGCCATTTAGGAGCAATGGCTTGAAATACTAGAAAAACGCAGGTTAGATTAGAAAAGGTTTTCATAACAATAAGGGTCATTACAGCTGTTAGATGTGGAAAGGACCTGCCTGCTAAGGTAGCAAAGCCTGTGGAAGTGATGTAATTTCAAAACTTATTAACTACAAGCTGTAGAGCTATGTGCTAGACAGCCAATTTTTTGCTGGCTCAAAGACCTGTAAAATGACTGAGCCACATCTACACTACACATATTACCCCCAACAGAGAACTAATGGTTCACAATACTGCCATGTAGACACGGATAAGGTATAAGGATAAGGGGGAACTCCATGAATTCTGTTTAAACTGTGATGTCTAAATAACACCAGTTTCCCCCTAAGCAACTGCAAGAGAGAAGGAACTGCCAGACTGAGGCACACAAAAATTAAATTCTTAGGCTGAGTTTAGATCTAAAAGTCCAAAAAGATAAAAATGTAATTTAAAAAAAAAAATCTATAAAAATAAATGTCAAGCATGTGCACAGATCAGAAGGGCTCAGTGATCAATAACCTTACAGATTCAGATTCCCACGGCATTAGGAGTTATGGGTTTTCAGCACTTCTGAAAATAAGGTCCATTTGGACGCATAAGAACTGACGCTCCAAAAATCTATGGTCTCTTTCAAAAGTCTGAGTAAAATCGACTTGTCCTGGTCCAGGGATTAAAATCCAGGTCTTCTGAATTGTATGAAATCTTCTTTTTGTGCCTTAGCTACAAAACCACCTTGCTTCCACATCTCGCTCATGACAGTTTTTAGAGTAGATATATTGGTTGCGAACTACCGCCTGTGCTTATACTGTCAAGAGAAAATGTTCTTCTCCAAAATCTAACACAGAGAACATTGAAATGTTTCTTATTCCATAAAGCTTCCTCATGACCTCCACACTGTGGCACTCACACACACACTAATGCTAACCCTTTTTTAAATCAAGTGTGAAGTGGCTACATACCTATTTCCTTTTACTGAGAGTCCCTCAGTCAGAAGGAGCAGTTCCAGTACATAGGAGGACACTTGGCCGCCTTCTGCAGGTCCAAAGTCACCGCTCAGAAATGGCCTCTGTCCCTTCAGTAATTTGGATCACTTGATGCTCTCTCCACTCCCAACAAAATTCTAAGGAGAAAAAAAAAACAAATTAACTTTAGCCACCAGTTAGGACACCCAGAACTACCAAGCTTGGTCAATAGTGCTTGTCAAACCTTCATGCATTCCCCATTCTTCCCAAACCCAATAGTTTTGGTCCCTTTAAGGTGAGACAATCCCACTGCTCAACAATGCCTACTGCTGCTGCTTGATCATGATTTTTGCCTTGAGAACAAATGCCTCATTTGTGTGTCTGAGTAAAACATGAAGAATCATCTCCCTTCCTGCACCCCGCACACCCTCCCTGTGATTTTTAAATCCAGTTGTTCCCTTGGGGTGGGGGGCTGAGAGGGAGATTGAGGAGGAGCAGGAATGAAAGCTGCAGTGCTGAAAACGATGCTCTGGGCAGATGGACCTCTCAGTGGTACTGCACATGTATATAAATACGTACTATACAATGTCTCCAATGGATATAACAACTTTTGTCACAGGAACTCAAAGCATTTCATACATAAATGAACTAAGACTCGGGATGTCTCTGTGAGGCAAGCAGGAGAGCATTATCTCTATTCTACGGCCTGAGAAAATGAGGAACACTTGCTATAGGCTCCACAGAAGTATAGGACAACCTAGACATAACTCCCAAACCTCTTCTTACACCCCTGTATTATTTTTTCCCTTCTAGGAGGAAAATCATGACAGAAATGTACAATACTTCGAATAATTTTGAAACGAGAAGACAATAAACAGATCAAAAATCATATATTATGATAAATCAATATATGATGTGGGTTTCACCATATTTGTATTCAGAGCCTGTAGGTATTTTAAGAGCAGACAATTATACACAAAGTAAAACAAAGCAAGGAAAATGGGGAAAGTGCAATTTCTGGAATGCTGCAAAAAATAAATGTACAGATGCCGTGAAAAAATGCTGACATGGATAATTTGTGTCCATCGTATTATGTTCACACCCAACAAAAATTATAATAGATCTGTAAGTTAAATACTCTGGAGTGTCTGCAGCAATTTCAAGGCACAGGAACAATATCTAACTGTGGAACAAGGCTGTGTTGTGCAGTACAGTACAGCACTTGCAAGATGGTGGCTAGGAACAAACACCTAACATCAAATTCTTAACTAGTGACTTAGTTTGAGAAGGGTATATTGAAAACAGCTGCCAACAAATATGCAGCAAGAGATCCTTTAAACCAGGCATTAAGATAGCAGATAACAAGGGCCATTTCTAGCCTATTCAGTATTGCACAACCTAAGTTCAAGGATTCTTAGTCCCACTCATACCATCATCTAATCTTTGTTAAAAAAAAAAGCTGCCCTAAGCAACCTTTTTTATGAGAGCGTAAAAAGGTTTTTATCCTGTAATATGATGCTGCTTTCCACCCAACTATTCCTTTTTGTCTCTACTGGCCACATGTAGTTTTTGTTTGTTTTAATAGGAAGATACAATCCACTTCGAAGGAAAAGTCCACAGATCTTGCCTCTCAATTCAAAAGATTTTTTCTCAACAGAGCATTTCAATTTGTGTGCATCTAACTCCCTCCTATTAGGCAGGAAATAGTATAAAGTTCTGTGCAGTCATTTCACACACAGACACACATGCTTTTACATCAAGACTATGCAAGCTTCTTGCAACGGCCCGGTGGAACAAGCAAGGCCACACTGAAATCCAAAAGATTACCAGCTTTGATTAAGGACCACTCAACTATTCCCTTAGTACTTTGGGTCCAAATTGCAATCCATACCTGAAAATCTGGAACAGAAGAATCCAGCCACACTATGGGGAGATCTCTGGCCAGTGTTCACTCTGAACTCTAGCTATTAGCCATGTGATAAGCCCACTTTGTTAGCTCCACCTTATCCATTTTTATTATTGCCAAACAAAACCTTGTGCAACTGCTGCAACAAGATTTCTGGATTCTGTTCTTGCGAGTCAGCTAGAAATGTTATGGCAGATCCATTTAGCTGAATATTTTAGACAATCAAACATTCAAACAACTGTGAAACAGTACTGCAGCCCAGGTGGTGTTTATTTTCGATTCTACCTTCTATTTATTCTGCTCTCTCTCCTCATGTCAAAGATTTTTGCATCAAAACTACCTGAAGCACCCTAAACACACTGTCAAGGTGGAACTGGCAGTTTTGTCAGCTGGTATCTGAGGAGGCTGGAGCATAACATTTCCTAACTTATGCTATAAAGTAGTTTGTGCTGACACTTTTAAACGGATATCTACAGGCACCAGGCTTAACCCATTAAGTTCCAAGGGACATTTCACATTTATTTTTCAGTCTGCCAAACTCTGCAAGACAATGCTGGTTTCCACGTGGTTCATGCTTTCTCCACAAAGGTCAGAAACACGGGTTATAAAATGAATGTTTCAATTCCAGAGCACAATTCTGCTGCAAGGAACCAGGGAGAAGTGAATTCTGTGGTTTGAATCTATGCTGGCTGTTTTTAGCAGGCTTCTCACCATGTGTTTCTAGCACCCATGAAAGCATTGTTCTATGAACATTAACATTTCTCCGTTCTGTGGCCTTTTTTTGTGGTATTTAGTAGCAGAAGAAACACTATAAGTCCTATTGGGTCACTGAAGACAAGACTCACGTTTGCATGTCATTTTGTAGACATGTAAAAGCAGAGGCGCCTACTTTAAATGCCCTATAGTTATGCCATAAGACACTTGTCACTCACCCAGTCAAATTGCCAGAGATTTAATGAAGAATTTTAAATGGTTACATTGCTCAGCTGTCAGAACAAAGCCCCATGTTTCTGTGCATCACACACATCTTCTTGAATTAAAAAAAGAAGCAAGCTTAGACAAGTAAAATGCTCACCACTCTTGATAAGTGGCTTTAATACTATAACTAAATTAAGTTGCATGGAGCAATAATGGCCTCACAGGTGAAGGGAAGCATCTCTCTTCTTACGAAATTAAGTGGAATGTAAGATTCCCTGTAAATGCCGCCTGTACATACTTGCCCTGAATTACCGTTTAGCCAAGAAGCTAATTAAATAATGCGTCAGGTGAGATGAGAACAGGTTCACCTCCTCAGAAGGGCTGACGTTCACTTAAGCACATGCAATTGTAATGCTCAATACAAAATCATCTATTCAAATAAAATTACAAAACACAGACTTTATGGGCTTGAACTCATAAGCAAAATATTTTCAGCCTCTTCAAAGGGTGGGTTTCACAAGTGGCCTAAAGGCTTTTCTGGCCGATACCATGTTCTGCTTAGTTGAAGATATGGTCTTGCTGGCTCCGGCTGGCTGCAGAGGAATAGTGTGGAGATGCTCAGTGAGAAAGTGATAGTCTTGAACTGCATCAGAAATGAAGCGATATCTCAAGAAGTACTTGGATACTGTGATAAAGGGGTGAAGGGATGCAACAAGAACTAGGTAACAGCAGAGCTGATAGCTCGCATTCGAAGTAACCTACCAGTAAAAAGACAAGCTTCCCAGTTTGCCACATAGATGAGACAAGGGTAGGTAGGATAAAGTCCATATGCATATGTACATACTTTGAAGAGCCTAGATATGTTAAGTTCCTAAGACGAGGACCATAAAGTTACGTAATGAATAATGCAGGTTATAACTAAATACTCTTAACTATACTTTACCCCTTCCAAAAAGATAAAATACCGTTGTAAGGATTACCCTTATGAATAAAAGTTTACTCCAATGAAAAACCTCAGGGCCATACACCCACAATCCCCAGAAATCTGGTATTCTTTTAGCAAGCAAAACTTCCCCCAAATGGATGTCGGGTTTGGAAACCAAAGGTACATACCATTAGCACGAACTTATCGCCTAAGTTCATGCACTGTCCTAGCTCCAATTCAACCTTCCCTTTCCAAGCTGCCCGTGTCTGCTGACTGTCTCAAATGATCTTGCAGGTGTGGCACCCAGCAGGTGCATGACGTGATGTCAGCATTACTCATTTTCATACCAGAGGGACAAAGTCACCGTACAAAAGAGAAAAACTTCCTCCTTTCAACTAAAAACAAAGAACAATGCCGCCCAGAGTAGTCCAAGTATTATACATGCTCTTAACATTAGATCATCAGGCACTACCGCAGCTGGCTTCAGGACCCTAGGTAGACTGATCATCATTCATATGACTGACTAGACAAATCTAGAGTTGAGTTTTAGCAAGAATCAGTTCATCTGACAGTGATCAACTTACTGGAAGTGGGTCACAAGGCCATAAAGGCTCAGCAGGCCTAATTGAGAGTTGAGAAAACCCAACTTGTACCAGCCTAAGAAAGAGAAGTCATGGCATCAGAGAGAGTAAGAGCCTCCTGAGGTAACACAGCTGAGGACAAAGTGAAAACACCTTCCCTGTTCTCACTTTGCACTCTTCAGTACCAATTTCCTTACTAGGAAGGACACTGGCAAGTAACTTTAGTCCAACATAATTTAGATTTTACAGTTTAAAAAAAAAAAAAAAGGAAGCAGGAAAGGGTCCACAAATCTAAATGTCAGTTGAAATGTTTTATGAATCTGAGTTGCAGTATTTCACTAGAGAACTGCTACAGGATTTAAACATTCCCTAGAAGCATAGGAAAACTAGACTCAACAGTACTGCTGGGAAGGGTCAAGGGCATTATTCCTGACATCCTGGTCAAATTGCCTGACATCCTGGTCAAACTGCAAGACCTGCTCATTTAAAGTAATCCTGCTTTCTCCACTGCTTGCGACAGTCTTTTGTTCACGTTCGAAACTGCTAGTGTGTCTGGGATCTATTACACGGCTACTACAGTGTACAGAGGAGCCTACAGTTGAAGCAGCAGACACAGTCATTCCTGCACATGCACTGTGGTTCCACCAAAGTTAATGGAGTTTTGTCTAGGGACTGGATTTCACTTTAAAATGTTGACACGGTACAACTAGATCAACCCTGCATGGATTTAGTTACACTGGTGCAAGTTTTTGAATATAGACCCAGCCTTGCATCACATTAAGTCACAGGTAAATCTGGTCCCCGATGTGTGCTAAGCCAAATCCACCC